TGACGGGCCACCCCAGGCGGTCTGACCGGCTGTATGGCCGGTCTGACCGGTTCTAGACAGAGCGCTGGGGGGCATGCCACAATATATAATATACGATATTAAAAGGCAGCGGGCTAATGTAAAGGTATAAAATAACGGATCATTAATTTAAATGAAAATCGATAGTGAAATTATATAGTGCCACGTGATGGTCTAAGAGTGCTTATACAAGCACCACGTGACTATATTTGTGGAGCAATAAATTTTATTTTTATAGTACAGAAGATCCTATTTTAAAAATACCGTCTATATTTTTTTCGTCGGTTATAACTTCGTACGTATATTTATCGTGCGTTCACCGTACATACGTATGTTCCTTTGTATTTTTCCATCCAAGTGAACTAATATTTATCGTACATACGTACGTTCTTTGTTTCTTCTGTAATAAGCAGTACCTAAAGATATACTCCATCATATACGTATGTAAATATTTTCATACGTATACGTATGTAAGTATTTCCAGTAAATGGATTCTCTAGCACAAACTTTTTAAATAGATCCAATCTAACGGTGTAAAATAGGCCCACCAATTTAAATAAAAATCGATGGTGGGATTATGGAATGCCCACTACGCCAGATCCTCACACCTCTGACGGGATACCTACGACGGGCAAATGATTTGGTCACTGATGACCGTCACCTTTGACGGGTCATACGGGATGTCGTCATCGGTGAGGCATTCTGCCGCGGCCCGTCATAGGTATCCTGTTACCTGTGATAGGCCGAAAGGAAAAGCTGTCACATGTGAGGCAGTGACGGGTTTTTCTTCCAACTCGTCACCGGTATCCCCTCACCTGTGACGGGCCGTCACAGGTGATGGGCAGCCACCTGTGATGGATTTGTTTTCCGGCCCATCACAGGTGAGGGGATACCAGTGACGGGCAACTCAATTGAAGCCCACCAAAGGTATGACCAACACCTTTGACGGACTTTTTTTACCTAACCTGTTTGAGGTGTGTTGGGTCTATAAATACCCCCCAAACCGCCAACGGCTTTCCATGCCGACCAGTTCATTGTTCACAAATCGGTTGGGGGTCAAGGGGGGCGAATTTTTGCTAAAATTCAAGGTAAAAAACACATTATTCTTCCCTTCATTCTCAATATATCGATCATCATATATTTTTCTTCCTATGTTATTGATTTCAGATGAATCGTAGTTGGATGTACCATGTTCATCGTTCATCTACAGAGTATAGAGAGGGGGTCACTGAATTTGTCACATTTGCGGAGAATGACAGAAAAAGTAGGATGAGCATATACATATTGTGTCCATGTAGGGACTGTAAGAATGAAAAGATGATCCTTGATAGCTGAGAAGAGCATTCTCATTTAATAACAAAAGGATTCATAAAGAAATATACTTGCTGGACCAAGCATTGAGCGCAAGAGGCGCCTGATGCCGCAGCTGAAGAAGTGTTGGATCAGAATGTAGAGAACACCGCCGCAGCTCGTGAAGGCATGTTTGTACCTTCTCCGTTAGGTGGAGAGACCATAGATTTGGACACTCAATGTCTATCTACTATGTTGCATGACATTGAAGACGCAGAGGACAATGACAGAGATTTTGAGAAGTTTAGTAAGTTGGTATAAGATTGTCAGATGCCCTTGTATGGTGGATGCAAGTCGAACCACAACAAGTTGTCATGCGTGTTGGAACTCATGAAGTTTCAGGCTAGTAATGGCTGGTCCGACAAGAGTTTTACATAACTTCTTGAGCTGTTAAAGGACCTGTTGCCAGAGGGGAACAATTTACCGCAGACGACATATGAAGCGAAGCAAGTATTATGTCCGTTGAGCCTGGAGGTCAGAGGAATTCATGCTTGTCCGAACGACTGTATTTTGTACTACAAGGAATACGCTGACTTGGATGTCTGCCCTGTCTGTGGGGCATCTAGATACAAACGAGCAAAGAGCGAAAGGTGAAGGAAGTAAGTCAAATAGGGGAGGCCCCGCAAAGGTGGTGTGGTATCTCCTAATTGCGGAGCGTATGAAGAGAATGTTTACGAATAAGGAACAAGCTAAGCTAGTGCGCTGGCATGCTGAAGAACGGAAAGTAGATAGTATGCTTAGGTACCTAGCTGATTCAGTACAGTGGAGGACAATCAATAGGATTTACCAGGAATTCTTAAAGGACCCAAGAAACATGCGTTTCGCAATGTGTACGGACGGCATTAATCCATTTGGTGATTTGAGCAGTCGTCACAGTAGATGGCCAGTTCTGCTTGTTAACTATAACATTCCTCCCTAGTTGTGCTTTAAAAGAAAGTATATTATGCTTGCTATGCTCATTCAAGGACCGAGACAACCTGGCAACGATATCGATGTGTTCCTTGAACCGATAATCGATGACTTCGAAAGGCTATGGAATGAGGGCACACGAACATGGGACGCATATGCACAAGAGTATTTCAATCTCCATATATGTTAATGAATCTAGGCACACATATATGTCTAGATTCATTAACATATATATGAATGTAGGCAATGCTAGAAAGTCTTATAATATGAAATGGAGGAAGTACTCTATACCTGTGCACCCAACATAGAGCAACTGATAAATCAGATATTAAACCCGCACCATTACACCTCTCTGGTAGCCTACCCAAACAATTAACATAAAGCAGATATAAAGTAAGACCAGTACTCGAACTAAACAAAGTACCGAAGATATATAAAGAAGAGTATTTCATTAATTTGGAAGGTATTACTGAAGAGGCTACAAAAACTGCTAGAGTCATACCAAAAACTCTTCCGAGGACTTCCGAACACTATTCTATACTACTCCACTTAGCACTATGTTGACGGTCGTTAGCGATCATTTTCGCCCGTCAATACTACCTAAATAAAGGAGAACTAGTTATGCTTGCAATGCATATTTATGCTAAATAATAAATATTCTACTAGCACTAGGATTACTAACCTCTTGCAGGGAATGAACACAAAATGGAGGAGAATCGATAGCAATACGGACGATCAATCAATCGAACGCTGTCGAGAATTAGACTTGCGGACAAGTGGGCTGAAAACACCAAATCGACACGACCAAAACAACCCAAAATTCACAAGTCTACATAAAGGAGCGGAAGAGGAGGCCACCAGCTGAAAATGGGCCAGGAAGGCCCATCCCACGGTTCGGCCGAACCCTCCCTGGCGCCGTTGGATACAAGCCTTCTTCTGTACGGCTTGGATCACTCCCCAATGGTGTTTGGAGGGAATTTCCGACCATTCTAACCATCTCAACCATCATTGAAAGGCTATAAAAGGACTTCACTCTCTCTATTTCTCCACACACCTCAAGCAAGAAGTTCATTTCATCTCTTAAGTTTAGTATAGTTTCTAGAGTATAGTGGAATAGAAATATAATAGAATCTCCCCCGCAAAAAAAATGAAATACAATAGAATCTTCAGTCCTCGGAGTCTTCGGAAGAATTCGGGTATGGCTCTACTATATTTTCCTTCTTTTTGTAAGACTTGTACTTTTATTAGAATACTCCTCTTTATACTACTTTGATATTATATTATTTTGCGAGTATATGAATACCAACTTTATTATATGTCTATATTCGTTATGATGCTAGCTTATCTAGGAGATTCAATGGTGTGGGTATAATGATCGTATTTACAATGACTATATGTTATGATGATGATATTAGAGTAGTATTTGGTAATTTAAGCGTGGTGTTTAGATTATTGGATATCATTATTTGGGGTTATATGCTGCGGAAGCGAGGTGGGCCGCTGATGATGACAGCTCAGTACGGGTATTCCTCCGCGCTATATAGTCCTATGTTAATTTTCTAGGGATGGTACTCCTCCAAATTTAGCCCCAGTTGTATGGTCATGACGGATTGTCGTAAGGAACTCGGCAATCAGGGGTGGCTTCTCAAAGCACCAAGAGGCCATTGGAAAGAGGGTATTAGCTAAGTAATGATATAATTAGGATGTATGTATAATATGTATGTATACTAAAAGTATAGGAATAGGATCTTTCTATATTCTTTCCACTTAATTTGATATCATGAGTAAGCGGATGAATGCTTCTGCTTAGTGTCACCCTACCCTTTGAATTGTATTAACCCTTGCTTAGACTTCGTTTATTACAAGTAATATATAAATTTTTAGTACGGTTCTCTCTATTATTATCTTCCCACGGGATTAAACAAATACGATACCATTCGAATACTCTCGGGTGAAATGCTATAATGGTATATCCGTGCGCTTGCGGATAAACTCTATTACCATAATATACCAGGAGTATTTTTGCGCCATGGCTAGGAATTATATTTCTAGTAATGTCGTTATGAAATACCAATAAGCATTCCTGGCGCCGTTGCCGGGGAAGATTTATAAAAGAGATCACCATTACTAATACTTTATATTTACCTCTATATAATCACTGTCCTTTGCAGGCTGGCCTTGGTTGTTTTCACATTTATTGTGGAAAAAGGGTAGTGCATGACTGGTTTTAACTTTTCGGAAAATTTCAAAGAAAATCTAGAAGTTTTCTTTCGGAGTGTCAAGTCGCGAGTCGTTGCTCCGAAGAAAACTCTTCCAACACAGAAACCAGCCATTCCAGCGCCACCAACCTTCGAGACTTGGCTGATAAGACCCTCTGCAAATTCGCTGCTCCCTTCGCTGACAACATGGCCACTGGGCCACAAATCAACATGGAAGACGTGGATTTCGATCTGAAGTCCAGCCTCATTACAATGGCATAGGCTAGCCCATTCTGTGGCAAGTCAAATAAGGATGCCAACACACATCTGCAATAGTTCCTGGAGATCTGCAACACATACACAATGAAGGGTGTCACGCCAGACGTCGTCAGGCTGTGGCTGTTTCCGTTTTCCCTCCTTGGGAAAGCGAAACAATGGTTTTATGCCAACCGTGCCACGATCAACACCTGGGACAAATGCTCTAAGGCATTCCTGTCAAACTTCTTCCCGATGGGTAAGACCAACACCCTTCGCGAAAGAATTTCAAGCTTCCAGCAGACAAGGGACGAGTCCATTCCTAAGGGATGGGAACAACTTCGGGAATATATGGCCGCATGTCCTCATCATGAGATGGATGATTGGCTGATCCCGCAGAACTTTTACAATGGACTCACTCCCACGTCATGCGACCATCTGGACGCGGCGACTGGAGGTGCCTTTTTCCCAAAAACTGTTCGAGGAGCCGTCGACTTGATAGAAAAAATGGTCTCCAGTATGGGCTAGAGCAAGGAACGATTCTAGACCCGTCAGCAAGGCGTGCACACCGTCATGGAGACGGAGATGCTTGCTGCCAAGCAGGATCTCCTCATGAAACGTTTGGACGATCACGAGAAGAGGTCACAAGGCACCGTCAAGGCCTTGGACTCACACGTTACGTGTGAAGTCTGCGGCAGCATGGGTCATTCTGGAGCGACTGCCCAGAAATCCGTGAAGAGGCGATGTACATGGGCAACAACAACGACGGATTCTATCCACAAGGAGGTCAGTGGTGGAACCAGCCACGCCCATATTTCCAAGGAGGCAATAATAACGGTAACTTTTCTAACCAACCCTCCTTGAAAGATCTTGTCTTTGCGCAGGCTAAAACCATAGATGCTCTTAGCAAAAAGCTAGCTGCTAATGACAAAATCTTAGAAAACATAAATCTTAAGCTAGATGGCTTTGCTTCTGCATTCCAAATGACAAGATCTTGTCTTTGCTATGTAGTGACAGCCATGACTCCCGTCCTAGTAATCCTCCACATTCGGATACATCATAGAGCTATAGCCAGAACCACGCTGGCAGACCAGTAGGGGTCGGTGCCCGAAACAACTTATTGGAAATTACCTTTACTTAGCTTAGATAATTAAAACACATAGAAAGTCCTCTCTAGCCTAGCTAGTCTGCCAGTAGTTGTTGTCCTTGTATAGTCTTAACCTTATGAAGATTACACACGTTCCCTAAGTTCGATATCCTTTTGGGGTCACATGAAGGTGAAGTGCTACAGCGGAATGTATTCCGTGCACTTGCGGATTTATCTGTGGTTGTAAGAAATACCAACAGCCAGCCTTCTTCGGGGTGGAGGAGGGTAGAGGAGAGTGGAAGGGAGTTGGGCCCGAGGGGAAGAAAAATAAAAGGAGGCCCATTTGAACAGTGACATTTCTAATTTTCTCTGGAATTTTGAGGAAACTTGGAAGGATTTGAATTTGAATTTTGACCTAGAGTTTGACAATAATTTGAGGGGGTTTCTTTAAGGGAGGATTTGAGATCTAATTTGGCACAAAATCAAGTAAGCACCAAATTTAAACTCCAGATTTTTAAATGACAGATTTTTTAAATAAACGAAAAATTCAAGGGTGCTACATTAAGACTGCCTATCTATTGGTATAAATATGGTAGAGGTGTTGAGGTTTCTACATATCGATTTTGTGATAATTGAGTTTAAAGGAAAATTAAGGTTTCGGGTTTAGTCGAGATTTGTGAGAGGAGTGCTGTTATTACACTTTGTAAACACGAATGGAGGCAATAAAGTTTAATGCACTTTCAAGAGTTCTTCGATTTATGTTTTCTCAAGTTCGACGGTCACACCAGTAAATACATGGCAGTTAGACCCAATCAGACCGATAGCATTTCAGCGGTTGGATCGGTGAAGGTGACAGGCGACGGTGGCTCAACGGACTGTTAGACTGGAGCTTCTACACCAGTCAGACTAGAGGCATCCATGCGGTCAGACTGGCGCATCAACTCCGGTCAAACCGATCCTTATCAATTCGAGGGTATTTTTAATTACGTAAGAAGTTTTGGTTTTTAGTGATCCAACCATTTACCTCTCTCTGGTTGGGGTTCTATCCTACTCACTACTCACAGAAATATTTCTCCATGGACGACTGTATTTCTCCATGGACGACTGACTTAGCGTCTGTGTAAATACCTTATTTATGTCGACATTGCTTGCATGTAGGAGTGAAAATGGGGCCGGTATTTCCCGACCATCCGCCCGACCCGAGGCTAGTAGGAGGAATATGGGAGAAAAAATAGGATACCCAATACTATCTGAGTTCGAATCCGAATTCGTTAGAAAATAGGGTTAATTGGATCCATGCCACTGCAACTTTACCAAATTAAAAAAATACCACTACTATTCATCATATCGGTTACATGCCACTGAAAATTTCTAAAATTGAAACAATGCCACTGCCGTCCCTTTTCCCATCCACCTCTCTCACGCCGTCCTCATCCCGCTTCCTCCTTGTTCCATCGTCCATCCATCCATGGCCGCTGGAGGTCGTTGCGAGGAGGTCAGCGCGATGGTGGCAGTGGAGGAGGACGCGCGCACGGGCTGCCGTTCCCGGTGCTCGCGCGTGCGGCGTTCAGGGTGCGCAGCGCGCACTTGCCGGCGGTCATCCGCGCGCTCGTCAGCTGCGGGTGGTTCTGCATCGAGTCCTGGATCGGTGGCCGCGCAACATGGTGGCGCCGGCAAACGCGCTCGTCAGCATGAGCCCGCGGAAGTTCACGTTCGCCAAGGGGGCGCTGGTCACTGCGTTGCTTGGCATCGCCTTCCAGCCATGGCGGCTGCTCAGCTCCTGCGAGAGCTTCGTCTACACATGGCCGTTCGAGCTCTCCTCCGCCGCCCGTGGCCGCTGCGCTCCCCGGCGACCTACAACTCCGACGACCGCGAGGGCGAGGTCGTGCACCTGCATCGTCGAGGACGGCGGCGGCGGCAGCTCCCGAGACCGAGCTCGCCCGGCGCATCGTCGAGCACGGCGGTGTCGCCATGTGCGACGGCGGCGGCGCCACGCTGCGCCGGCCGGGCACGTAGCAGCTGCGGCGTGACGGGGGCGGGGGGATGTCGGCGACCAGAAAGTCGCCGTCCTCATCATCATCGCGGATCTCCAGGGGAAGGAACTCTCGTCACCGTCGTCATCGTCGTCGTCTCCGGCGAATTCGAAGGTGGCTTACGGCCAGCGTTGGCCGTCGGCCCGCGACTTCCACTCCCCGACGCTCTCCTGCCGCGGTGGAGCATGAGGAGTGAGCCCGGGGGGAGGTGGCGGCTGTCACGCCCGGAAATTCACTAGTAATTTCCGAACTAATTTGTGCATAAAACCCTCGTCCAGGAATCAGCCGAGGTACACAAACTGACAATTTAATATACAAATCCATCATAATAATAACGTTACATACTTACAAAAGAAAAGAAAAAAAAAACAGCAGCGGAATTAACGGTCTAGCGATGGCTTCAGCTCCACTCCCATAGGCAGCTCAACTGGGGTATAAGCCAAACGTCTTCTCCTTCTGGATCCTTTATCTTCAACTGAGGTTTGATTATTATTGCAAGAATGAGCATATGACATACTCAACAAGCCACACAGCAAATATGCAAGTGCACAAGGATACCAAAGGATGGCATAATATAGGCTCATTTGCAAAAGCAGCATTTAGCAAAGATTTAAGATAAGTAAAACAGTAGAGTAATTAATTAGAAATTTTAATCAACACTGAACAGCACACCCATGCTGTACAGGCCCAACCATCCTGAACAACCATACCCGGCTGTACAGATCTAACTCCAAACCAGGAGCTAAACAAATTATTACCAATTATAACATCCATAATTATTGTGAAAGGTGTGAGACTAATCACGAAAAACATTGCTCAACCCGCCTATAACCGCGGGCACGGCTATTCGAATAGTTTTACTCTGGCCAGAGGTGTACCACTGTACCCACAAGACACGATTTCGCACATGTTGCCATGCCCCGAAATACCACCACGGCATTGCAAAGGGGGAAAATCGTGACAATACCCTTTGCACAACACAACTCAAAACAGTGCACCGTTCCTGGATCATAATCACCCCCTTATAAAACAAGGCATGGACTCCCCAGCGACCCCCACGGACTTCTCGCCGCTTCTCAGTCTGGCACACTATAATGAACCATGCTATACAAAAGGTAAAGTCGTTGCCCACGCTGGCTTGTGGTTGGCACGGTAAATGTTTCACAACAGTAGCTCGCGAACCGGTCCTTAATTGTCATGAGCACAACCATCAAAACCATATGCTCACAACCCACCTTAACCAGGTTTTAATTATCAATTAATTAACATCACACGATTAACCATCGTGAGCGACCATTAAATATAACCATAAATAATAATGTAGTATATATGATTCATCCCATTAATGAGCTAATGTTTCTAAGCTTTGCTAAGCAATTATATCTAACATTTAGCTGAACCAAACCAATACATAAGGTTCAAGCTAATCAATTTATTACCCAAGGTATCAAGGAATAGAGTATTCAATGCAAATTGGCCATAACAAAGGAATAGGTTCACACCACCCGGTGACATTCGAAAATAAATGCACAGTTGAAATAAATAGAGAATTTAAATATAGGATCAACATGCTCAAAGGATTGTGCTTAGGATCTGTGTGACTTGCCTTGCAATAATCGATCTTCAATTAATCTTCTTGATCACTTTCGACGCACTCACGAACCTTCGCAACGACGGAAACGACAAGCTAACACGCAAAACGAAGAAAAAGACTAATAAAAACCAAATAAACAGTACATAAAAAGTAAACAAACATGTAGATCATGATTTTAAATGAATTATGAGACTTGAACGGCCTTATTCCGACTTCAAATGAATTTATTATGAATTTTACAAGATTAAATCTAATTAAAGCCCATTTAAAAAGAATTAAATAAATTTAATTAAATTTATGGACAATTTTAATATATAGATCTTTATTTTAGAAAAATTTAGCAACTTGAACCACCTAAAACGGATCTACGGTTATTTAGTTATGATTTTCCGAAGATTTAATCTATTAGAAAAAAGGAGAAAAGGAAGGATGATGACGTGAGCATGACGTCACCCACGGAGGCCGGCTAGGGTTGGCAAGCTCGCCGGAGATAGAGACCTTGGCCGGGTGATTGGAGGACACCTACGCGTAGAGGACGACGAGGCGAACCCAACGGTACTCACCACAACGTCTACCGATGACCGACGACGGCCGGCGACGAAGAAGACGGCAGCGGCGGCTCGGCTTGCACGGTGACGGCGAGCTACGGCGGCCGGCGACGAA